AAACTTCATATAAAAACTGGTAATTGTCACGTACAAATATAAACAGAAATGACATATCAGAATATGTTTGAAGTATATACTCGTACACTGTGTTTTACTTCTTATTGCTCAGAGTTTATTTATTCGATTAAACCCTTATTATTTTTATTGTATTATTTGCTGAAAAAAAAAACAAAGCTCTAAAGCATTTTTTCGTAGATACTAAAATATTTTAAACATACTTTTTTCACTATTTGTATAACCGAAGTGAAGAAGTCGAACATCTGTCGGGTCTCTTGATACTTATACCATACATCATCTATGTCTTACCAACTTTATGTACGCCTTAAGTAAGGGGAAGTTCGCATTTACCTACTTATCGGTTTAGACGATTGTAGGGTGTCTGATTTTTCAAGGAATGTTTATATTTTGATTTTATGTTAGGGCGCTGGTATTGCGCTGTCGGAATTTATAAAAGGGGGTCGTTTTAAGATTAGAGGGAAAATATTTATAGCTGTCGACTTACCATTATAAATTTACGTCTTATTCAGTGTAGATACATACCACAAATTGTATATAATATTTTGGTTTTGAATTAAAGGGAAGTAGGTGAGCAAGATGATTCGTTTGAAAACCACTTTATAAAATTCCTGCTTTGAAGTATTTTGTTTAAAGAGTTTCACATTGCCAATATATGTACATGTAAATGTTGGAAGTTCCTTATACACCACTACAGTAATTCAGGCTAATCATATATAATTGCCAGAATAGATACCAAAATGATACAAAAAAGGAAATCTTCAATCCATAACACATACAGTATTATACATACATATAGTATATGGGTTGAACATTTCCTTGAAGAACTCGTGGAATTTTTGATTTGTGGAAGTTATTGTTCCTCCATCAGTAAAGTATCAGTAATCATCAGTTAGACATTGTACACGATTATTATGGGAGATGATGATTTAACAATCATTTTATATTAAGTATTTTTTTTTTTATTTTAGGAATATAATTGATTTTCTTTGTACTTATGGTAATAGATCCTAAATAATAAAATATCACTGTTGCAACATTGTCATAAGTCCATTTTATTAATATAAGGCCAATATAAATATAATGTCTATTAATGTTTGTAAGCAACAATATTCTTTAAACAAGTGGTATCCTGAAACCTCTAAGTATCCGTAGCGGGATAGTCGCACCTGTAACCTAGAAAATAACAAAGACATCCCTGAGAAGCTTTTAAATGCATCTCAGAATACCCTATCTGACCTAACAAAAGGCTCCCGCGACGCTTGCACGGACAACGGATACAAGTAAACACTTTAAACCATAAAAGAAAGCACAAACGCCATTATTAGCAACAACTGAAAAGTGTCGGGCGACGCGCCGTGACAAAAAGAAAATGTAGGAGCCCCGCATCGATTTTTATACCCCCAGAGGGAGGCGGGGTTAGCGAGTCAGCCAATCAGGACGCGGTGAGCCGACCAATCAGAATCAACCTTACTCTTCGCACTGCTTTATGGTGTAATGGAATTTGAACTTCGAACTTGGAACGTCGCGGATTAAGAATCAATGCAGATTGGTAAATACGGCTTTTTTTATACTTCCCTATTGATTTTGTCGGGCATTTAAAGAGGTAATTAGGCGTTTTCTTTTTAAAAGGGTTTATTTTGAGTCAAGTTACAGTTTGCCCCAAGGGATGATATCTATTGCTATTTTTAATAGGGTATCAATTTAGGATAGGTTGATGTATGTTAAAATAAATTAGACGTAATCTTTTGATACCTACTTACTACTAGTTTTAAATAACAAGATTAAAAGTAAAGATCTTTATTTTATCAGTAATATATATATATATATATATATATATATATATATATATATATATATATATATATATATAGAAAATAACTAAACAATATAAGTTTTTTCAAACCATTGTTTTCAATTTATTTGCAAAATATTTTCATATTTTATTGTCCTCGCTAGCAGCAGCGCATACAATAAAATATAGTTGATAAAAATCACGAACTTTCTAATCAAGTCATCGATTTAAATAACAACTTTTCTGAACAGCTTTTATAAAAATTGTAGACTTTTAATTTTGGTAATTCCATTATACGGCACAATTCTTGTATAAAATATTAAATATTTATATCAGCATTAATTTGTATTCAAAACTTTATAAATTAATTTCTGAACGTGTTAATGTGGTCAAAATTAAAAAAATATACATACATAAATACATGAGAGCAGTGTAACTCTCGCGTAGCTCGTGCAGCAAATATCGTAGTGGGCGCGTAGCGAATACGTAGTACCGTCGTAGACGATGATATACTAAATCGTAGATATCTACGAATTTGTAGACATTTGTTTGTTTATACATGCTCTTAATATTTGTGCTATTATTATTGTGTGCTCACTTTTACATAAAATAAACTCTACCCAGTCAGAGAATATTACAAAGAGGGTCACACATTTTTATTGTGACAATTAAACATTAAATAACAAACCAACCTTAGAAGCCAACCCAATATTTTTTTTTTATACTTTGAGATTGTTTAATTAGTTAATTTTAATATTTCACGTTGTTTATGTCATCAATAAAGAATACGTATGTAGGCACTATTTACCTGCAAAGGGTTTTGTATTTGAAGTATATTGTTCATTTTATTAAATTTTATATATATTTTATATATATTTTATAGTGAAACTAGATTTTGCTCACTACTTCGTATAAGCGGATTTTAAAAATAGGAAAACCAATGAAATAGATAATTTTTAGATCGGATATTAAGATAAAATATACATCAGTTTTTGAGTTAGATCTTTAGACACACAACTGTGAATACCGCTTCCAGTTTGATGTATTTGTGTTATGCTACAACAAACATACAGACAGACAGACTGACAAAATTTGTAAAAAATATAGTTTTGGCAACGATTGATCTTTATTAAGACTTTTTATTATTTTTATTAAACGTCTCTCATGTACAGACATCATCTTGTTATAATTATATTAGTAAGATAAATAAAAGAATAAAGGGTTATTACTAGTAATAAAACTGTCTTACTGAAATATGTACTTAATATATTTTATCAAGTTCCTTCATTAAGGTTGCCACAGATACTAGATTAAAGGCGATAGTGCACGTGTTTGTCAGTCCATCCATCACTCATCTATTGCATTTAAGGGCTGGATTCGAACTCGAATGTCTAGCAAAAAGCATTATCTACAACCAGTAATAGAGAGTTCGAATATCAATTAATTGATACATTATTACATAATCAAATAGCAATATTTTATCGATAACTGTAATAATTTATGATTAGTGTTATCAATATTAATTATCGATAAAACGCAACTCACAATATTCAATGTAACTATTTTTAATTTACATCGATATGATTGTTGGTAATCGGATCGTTTGAGAATGAATGAACCGATTTGGCGATATTGTTAAATGTTTGTACCTAATAGTCGATTTAGATTAATAAAAAAAATCTGATTAAAGAAAAATAAAATAAATTGGTATTTGGACAGAACAGCTAAAACATAGACAGTAGTGAATATTATCATTCAATATTTTTTTTAATTAGAATTAAATAGAAGACTACATTTATATGTAGTCTTACATTAAAAAGATAAAAGTAAATATTTAGTTAGTGAATATTGTATGTTCTATTCAAATTAGATACAAACTAAATAACTATAATATAACTATTAGAAGAGAACAATATATAGTGTAATTTTCTAAAATACGACACATTTAATAGAATTAAAATTGAGTTAATTTCGTAGGTACTGCAGGAGACACCATGTCTCTATATTGAGTGTATGATTGAGATGATTTGTGAAATTATAAGCTCATATATATGTACATATGTATATATCATATATTTGTGTTCATTTATCACTACAATAAAATTAAAATAAACATCAAAAGTATCGATGTATAAATAAATTATAATCGATATGATCGCAGCACTATCGTCAACCGGCGCTCCCAGAGGCGTAGTGCCGCAATCCCCTTTGTTCAACAATCGATACTTATACATCGACGCGATCGCAGTAAGTGAGAAAGCTTGTTCTACCCGCAATACAGTACAAGTAGCTAACATTTCACTATAATACTCCGCAAAGTGATTTATCACTTTCCTTTTCCACTTTGTTGATTGTTTCACATTTTTATTTCGCTCAAGTCGTCGAGTGACTTTTGTAAATTGATATCATTACGTCCTTATTTTCTAAGTATATATGAAAATATAGTGCAATAAATGATTAGTTTTAATTAATTTGTAGAAGTATTTCAATATCTTATTTACTCAGAAAAGACGCTGCCATGAAACATGACTTCATCAAACGTACTCAATGCGTTGCTACTTTTAAGAACAAATGTATCTCTTTTGTATGAAATATCACAAGATTTCGTATCTTTCAAGCCAAACTACGACTTATATGCAGTCTTATCATGTTCAATGTTATCACAACTCTTAAGAGATGAAGTTTAGGATCATAAGTATGCTTCTTTTTTTATTACAGGCGTGTTGTGGCAATCGCTTACCTACTCCAAGGAGAACAGTATGGTGTATTGCCTTTGCTATTCTGTAAATAATTTTAATATTATATTTTGTTTATAAGCGACGATTACTATTTTCTGTAAGATTCTAATTTGTATAAAATAATAACAATACCCAAAGGGGCTCGCTGGAAAGATTACTATTTGTTTAAAATTATAATATTCGATGTGATACTGTACCGAACAATGTACTTCTAGTTGATAGTCATATTACAAGGATTTTAACCATTCCTGATCAAACTAAGAATTGAATCTAGAATTTTATTTACTGCTCTGAAACTGTCTATATAAAGAAATCGTAACTAAGTAGCTGCAAATATCTATTTTTTTTAAATACTATTTTACAAGAGCAATTGGTAAGATCGTATCTACCCAGGAAAATTTCTTACAAATCTACCACCAGTAAATTCATAAATTAATGTTATTTCGCAGGTTGGGACTAATATCACAATGGAGTGCGCTGGCCGGACGGTATGGGGGTTTGGTTCCTGCGCCGTGGTACTGGCAGCGACCACACGAGAGGTCCACGCCACCAAGAGGTAAGGAATATTTATATTTTCCTTCGACCCAGTTCTTTTTTGAGATAAGCACTAAAAGCCGAGTTTCATGTATCTTTATCTATTCTTTATCTATCTACTATAAACCCTTCGTCTTTATTTTTTTCTGTCATTTTCTTGTTCTTTTTCCATAGCTGTTTGTGTCGGTGTAATACGTTTTCTTCTTCCATTCATCTCTCATTGCAATCATTTTATTACTCACTTTCTTTCTGGTCATGTCATCTTTTACAAAATCTATTTATTTTTGGGCCTCCCTTTACACTTATAACCGTGCATCACCTTCTTTACCACATTCTTTTTTTCGTTATATATCACATGCATTTTTTTCGGAGGGAAAACATAAATAGTTCGTGCATTAAACTATTCGATAGAATAATATCGATTACATCTCGATAGTAAATCGATATATCGAATCGACATTATGAAATGTAACATAACAAAGCAATGCGAATGCTGTCGTCGTAACAAGGGGATTATTGCGCACTGCTACGGCCTCGGTGCAGGGCTGTTGTTACTACATTGTTTGTTTTAAAGTTTATCGGGAACTAGTGCAAATGTTTGCTATGTTGCTTGTAATCATATGCTTGGTACTGTCTGTGAGGTAATATATAATGGCGTTTTTATACCAACAACATATTTATCTCTATATTCCATAATTAAAATATAAAAATAAAAATTTTTAATTGTTAAAGAACACTTATTCATTATATATCTAATTAAACGTTTTATTATATATATAAATTTTTATACGAGTATGTAAGTAGTAGAAGATGGATTTTTGTTACAAATTGATTCCATGAGGTTTTTTCTTGAATTTGGTCAACTATTATATAGTTGACAAAAATTTGGCATTAGATCTAAAAGATAGTGTAACTAATGAAGCTGGAATTCATTATTAGATATTGTTTTTTTAGAGTTCCAACATAACTAATTTTGTTTTTATAATATTATTAAGGACTTATTAGTAATTCTGTGAATAACAACATTGGTTCATAGAGATGAATAACAAAACAACTTTATAAGGCTTTAGTTTTTAGCTAAAGAAATACGGAAAGAATCGCTTTATTTACTCAATTTATTCAAGCGTATGAAAATAAATAGAAGAAACGCTGTGTACTAATTTAATTGTTATTACTAACGAAAAGAGAACGGCAAGATATTTGAGTTGTAAGTTCAAATGGCAACCCTACTACTGTAAATCGATTCGTACCTACAATCGTGTCGAATTACAGTTGTGATTTCGTGGTACTGGTGTCAGGTGGCGCCGGATTATACCAACACGGACCAGGTGTTCAAAGTCGATAGTTAACAAGGATACCTACAACTGATACTCGTTATTCTATCAGAAATGAGAGATAATATACTAATACCATAAACAATGAATAAGTAATAAAGACAAAAATGTACAATTCTGTAATATTTTCAAATATATAATTTATTAATTTTTTTTTCTGAACCTGGCATGGACTTGGTGATTCGTCAAGAATTTGGTAGGGAATCCTTATATCTATATCAAATTGAATGTAACCTACCACAATATTCCTAAACAATCTATTATATTTTTAGATATCTCTAATATAAAGTAGTACCTACTATATATATAGTAGTAGTAATATAATAGCCATTATATAATTAAGCACTCTTATACTATTTAACATATTATTTTTAATTTTTACATAAACAGTACAAGGAAAGATCGCACAAGAAGGAAAATAGTGTTGCCATAATAAAAAATCTGTAGCAATACAATATAATCAGCTTATTAAACGCTATTTAATAAAAATACAAAGGGTCGATAATATCCTCAGACCATCTAGTAAAATATTTTGGTCATTCGTACATATTTAAAAGCAAAGGATGTTTCCTTTTCGCCATGGTTCAATTATACATCAAACAAAAAAAGCATTATCCGTGTCACTACAAACATACATCGGTAAACAAGCAATCGTCATCACTCCGCTCAACCCCACTCCGGCTTTAATTTCCCAAAACCCATCTCGTAGCAAAACAAAGGCAACGCCATTTCACGCGGCCCAAACCGACCGAACAATGCTTTCTACCATCCACATACAATAACCCATATAGCAACACTGTGCGAAATGTCAAAAGTATACCTATCTCTTTTTCACTCTAGTATTCGTACTGTTCATATTCGCGCCAAAAACGGTGTTTGCTACATTTAACGATATCTCGTGCATCTCTTAATTTTCTTACTGAATATGAGTTTTTGGCTGGCATGTGCTTTTTAAATATAATATTAAAGACATATTATAAATAGGTGTAATAATGTACAATCTGCCAGTGACTCGCTTCAACTGCGCACATTTTTTTTTTATAAATAAAATATAGATCATGTTACGATAACGTTTTCATGAGCGAAATTTATCTATTACAAATAAATATATAAAAAATTGAATATTTCCACTTTAAAGAAATTAGTTCAGATGAAAGAAAATAATTCGAATATACCCTATAACAAAATGTAGTCGATTAGCTTAGATTAATAATGTCTAGATAAAGTGTCTAACTGCACTACATGTAATACATCATCATTATTATTATTATTATTAATACACTTTGTTAACAACTTTTTCATTGATGTTTTTAGAATGGAGGTAAGAAAATTTTAAAAATTAGTTTTAAAAAATGTGTGTTATAAGATTAGCTTAAAAACTAAAAACAATATTCTCACGTCTATATATCAGCTGTTATCTGTCCACTGCTGAACACAGGCGTCCTCCATAGATTGGGAAGTTTTGTCAAAAATCGCCACGCTTGGCAGACGGGTTAGCAACCTTAGTTAGGATTTGATGATGTTTTGAGAGAGACGTTGTTGCCCATGCCACCTACAGGAAAGGAAGGGATGGTCCATTCTATGCCAGCCTCACACGGCGACAATTTTTTAATAATTGTTTTAAATAGGTGACGATGGAATGGTAACCTCGCATGCGCTATGGGTATACACTGGCAAGGCACCAGATAATTGGTGAGGATGAAGAAGCAGGTTAGTTAGCCCATCATGACAACTTTAACAATAAATTAGTCACGATAGTTTCCAGGGGGAACCATGTAGAGATCGACTTGACAGGGTATATTAATAGCAATGGGAACTAACCTCCCTATATATACCAACAATCCCTTTCCCCCCTACAGGATGGTAAGATTTTAGTTTCCAATGTTATGAGCACAAATTTAAACTGAACTTTATTACTATTTATAATAATTAATGTAGGATGGAATAGTAAAAGCGCATCGTAAACTGCTTAAGTACTAAGCATTTGTGTTAACAGAAAGCCTAGAAACGGTACCTAACAAAGCATTATGTTACGCGGCTTCTAAAATCAATCACAGACCACTAACAAGTTTAGTATTTGAAACAGTGACAAATAATAACAAAGAGATCTTAATAAAGAGATATTGTTCCGTAAATTGTCATTTTTTAATATTAGAATTATTGAATTTAATTTATGAATCCATAAAGAGATATTCTTTTTAAAATCGGTTTTTTGTTTTTTTTTTTTATACAACTTAGAATGGCAAACAAGCTGACGGCCCACCTGATGGAAAGTGGTAATCGTCGGCTGTAGACATGAGTAGTACCATGGACATAATAAAATATACTGTTTCAGTCATGATACTCCCCATGCGTAGCCATTCCTGAGGACAGGTGTTATTCCTCTGTACCCTGTAAATTCACTGCCATATCCCTCCCTTCAAAACGAAACACAGCCATGCAAATACAACTGCTTCACGATTGAAACACGAATGGGACAGTGGTACCCAAGCAAACGACTTTCGTACAAAGTCTCCCTCTAGTAAATACTTTACTCTAAGCTCGACTTCGTAACAACTTACGTACCTATGTGAATGTTTAGTTTCCTTAGAAGAAAAATTATAGGACATAGTTACTATTTTTCTATGCGATCAGTGCTTCGGTCTACATTTTTTTTAGCTTAATACTAATAATATAAAAACAAAAATAAATCTTCAAAAAATACATTGACAATCGAACAAGAATCCTCAATATAAACGTATAAAAATCAGTAACACTTATTGCCTAATTGTAGGCGTAACAAGCACGATTTAAATGGATTTCGGCGTAATTGGATTTGTTAATCCTTGTTAGTATAGCTCATTCGTAAGCGAGAAAGAAGCCGTATTAATCCGTGATTTGTTTGCTATTGACTTTACATGAGCCTTGTAACCTATATAGACACAATAACTGCATATTATAAATAGGATAATATGGACAGGAAAAGACTAGTGGCAGGTATTACAAATATATTATATAATATTATTATTATTTCATATTCTTGTAATCTACGGTTCATATTTTCTGTTATTGCTAGCATATGTTTAGTTAGATAGTTATGTTTTCTTTTAGTAATGCTAGCGTACATTACTAAAAAAATAGAAATAAAAATATTGTCTGTGTGAATAAATACCAATTAGATACCTCATTTTGAACTATTCAAACCAATGATATAAAGTATGTAGTTTGTAATTTTTATCAAAAGCAATCGTTGTAATAATTGGAATAATTAGGTCGCCGTGCATATTGCATTAACATACATTGTATATGTATGTTAATGCAACATGCATAATATATTTAACAACTTTACAAGTAAAGTTTGATTTCATCTCAAACATTAATCTCCTAATTGATTGTTAAGGACATATTTTCGTACAATTGAATAATAATAATATAAATGTTGTGTATTATACTTACAAAAAAAACCTTGTTACAGAAGACTCTACAACCAACGAGGAAGGCTCGGCAGGAGGTTCACCGCGGCCTCGCAGCCCGCCTCGAGTGCCCACTCCGCCTTCACCATCCCGCTCGTCACCTCGTTCGCCACGACTCCATCCTGCACTTTACCCTCAACAACAAGACCCACAAGACTCCGACCCGGACGTTGACGAGAGCGATGACTTCGATAAAGACGAGAAACGCGATCCCAATGCTAATTTAGGCAAACGAAAGAAGAAAACGCGGACGGTCTTCTCTCGGTCCCAAGTGTTCCAACTAGAGTCCACATTCGATATGAAACGATATCTAAGCAGCTCTGAACGAGCCGGATTAGCAGCAAGCCTTCACTTAACAGAAACGCAAGTTAAGATATGGTTTCAGAACCGACGCAATAAGTGGAAGAGGCAATTGGCAGCAGAGTTAGAGGCTGCCAATATGGCGCACGCTGCTCAACGATTAGTCAGAGTTCCGATTTTGTACCACGAGTCGAGACCGACGTCGATTCCTCATACTCCGTTGCCGATTCATCCACAATTTTCGAACGAACCCGGAGTATACTTTCCTCCTCAAGCGCCGCAGCAGCTTCAACCGCTACCGGCATCACCGGTCACCTCTAGAGCGCCTCTGTCAAGTTTAGTGTAGTGTTCGATTGATTCCGTGCGGAGGACTGACAGTGCGGATGGACAAATATTTTAAAATCAGAATGTGATTGTGATGAGTATGACTGTGGTCCAGCAGATTGGAGGACATCCATTCCATTAAAATATCGTTTAACATCTTTTGAAGCACTTGAAGTGATTTTGCTCTTGCTGAAGCCATTAGTACATTCGTAACTTGTGAACATTTAATATAAGGACTAGTCATATGAGTGTCAAAGCCAAATCGTTCAAAAGTTATTAGGTAATTTTGTATAGGTACATGCCTGGTATAATTAATTAGTAAATAAACTTAGTTAACTATTCATTTACTTAACTAGACGATAGTTATGGAAGATTCAAATAAATGTAACGTACAAAATTGACATTCAAGTTGTATATAAAATGTAAATAAGAATGTTTTAATAAAGTTTCATTGTATTTATTCTGCAATAAGCACTAGTTAATATTGTAAATAGTAGAGACTAAAGAACTGATTATAAATGCTTCACATGAAAATAATGTTTGCGAATTATAAAAGGAAGTGAACCTTCACATAAACACCAAAAGACTAACTTCAGTTTTGACTATTTTTTTTTTTACAGAAAAATATTTAAAAACATTTTGTAACCAATTCAAATATTTAAGTACATTTTTCTATAATTATATAAACGCCTAATCTAAATATATTCTCGTAATATTTATGTTCTCAGACGTTTGAAACATATTTGAAATCAAAGTTTGATTTCTATACTTACCTATATCACTTTTTATTTTAATTTTAGCCTTTCATTTTACTGTTTTATTTTTGTTTAAATTTATGTATGCATAACATTTTTATTGTATACAAAATTTATACATTCAGGATTCAGAACAAATGCTCAATTTATTAGTTTTCTAATATTTTTATACCAGTAAATTGCCAGCGTTTTTAAATAATAATTAACATTAATTGAAAAAAACACAATTCACTTTTAATATTTATCGACAATCCCTAACGAGGTAGAGAGGATCAGGTACTTTATCCTTTATCCTTTCATCAAGGCCTTTATCCTTTCACATATTACACGAAATATCATTCATTTAAACACAATTTACCACCGCAATTGGATGATTATTTTTATTACTTTATGTATTTATATATGAATATATGTTACTTATACATATATGAATATATATTTTATTAAACTTTAATGCGCAGTGAAATTTTATGTACAATTGACGGACTTAACTCCGGACGGTACGTGTATTCTGTACCAGTTAACTATTGGACGAACAGAGAAATAGCAGGCGGTGCATTTATGAATTGAGGAAACAAACATATACTTAAAGTTTCACCTTTCTGTTACTTCTACGTCTTATTATTTATATTATTATGTTCCTTATTTATGGATATAAATGTTTATTTAATAATGATTGTAGCGTTGTCTTATATTTGAGATGAGCGAAATAGTATAATCAATTTCTGTAAAAAATATGTTATGTTTATTAAAAGAAATCATGTATATAATTATAATAAATCAGAATAATCAGCTATGTATGACTTAAACATAAAATAAATACATGCAGATATAATTGGAACTCGCAGGTTTAGTTGCTACTATTTATTTATCAATTAATTAGCGTTTGTAAATTGAACAGATATTACCTCTTAAAGCCTAGGTCTTTTTTTTAATTAACATATTTATAAATTATAACCTCGTTACAATGTGGTTTTATGCCATAATTATTTTATTTCCCAATTATCTATTCTGCTAACAAATTATATACACTGACCTGTACTATACAGGTTAGTGATTGTATAAAATATGTTGCCATGTTGCTTCAATGTAATTCTGTAATATTGCTAGCCTAAATAATTGAATAATGCTTAATTCTAAAATATTAATGTTATTTATTGATAGTAGTTGAAGTTCTCGTCATTACATTGTACTTAATTATTATATACGCTGAAGTAAGGCGAGGAATAAAACAAAATTCGCAATATTTATTTTTTTATTAAACCCTAACCGCTAATACGAATTTACTCGTAAAATTATAGCACTTGTACGAGAATATTTGTTTTTTAAAACGGCTTTACTCACTCACCTTACACTATAATTTTTTTGCAAGATATAAGGCACCTGGTCTCGTGGGTTTTGATTTCGCATTGATCTTGTCAGGATTGATTTATTTTTTTACGTATTACCATCGTATGTCTGCTGTAGACTAAAATAAAGGCAAAAACATTTACTTCTTTCTATTTCGGTCGGAGGTTAGGTAATTTTTAAATTTAAGGTTACTGGTCTGATGAGCTAGGTTAACCAATTCCGCAGATTCTTAAACAGGTCTGACGTCGCCTGTAGACACTTTTTATACTATAAATAAAAGTAAAAAGGATAAAAATAAAATAAATAGAAGATTTACAAGTATTTTATCCTCTTTCGTTTGGAAATTGTTATGGTTTTCATTCATGCGAAATATATAGATAAGCAGATACTAACGAATGGATGTATAATTGAACTAGAATTGTAATCGGGCATTAGAATTTTTAATTATGCTCTTTTTGCTGTTTCTTTAAAATCGTTTTTTAATTATTTATCATAATATACTCTTTCGCTATGTAGGTTAATCAAAGAGTAAAGAGACATTTAAAATTTTAAACAATTGCGTGCGAAATGCTAACAGAACGTTTATGATGGTTATCGTGCTAAAAAGTAGGGTAGTTAAACGTCGGCACGCGTTAGGCGTCCACACCAACCTCCCACGGATGCCACATCCGGATAAACTCGGTTTCCGGCAAGGGCAGTTTACAAGGGCTTATTTCCGGTGATGGTTTAAAAAATTAAAATATTTTTAACTGTGGGAAAATATATTTTATTGGTAAGTATAGTATTTTATGCATTTTTTTTTATTTTATTTTTGAGTAACTAGGAAATTTTTTGCATAGTAAGGGCAGTGAGGTCTTTACGTTTATATATGTAGGTATATATTGTGCATACTTTTGACTTTACTTTTGGATAAACGTACTTTTACAATATATTAATAATATTCTGCTCCGGTAATGTACTTTTTTTTTATACTGATTTCGCTATTATGACAAAATCAAAAATAAAAAAATCATGTCTCATATACTTGTGACTGTAAAAGTGCTTTAATATTAATACAGATAAAGGTAATAGAATATGGTTAGATTATAATTGGTTAAATAATAAAATTTAGAATAAAATGTTATTCCGCAGGCAAGTATTCACTTATAAAAATACATCCATTAGGATCCATCCACTATCTACATCTAACTTTCAGTTTTAAAATTTTATACCTGTAATTAGACGAGTCATTCAAATGACTATTGATAATCCATTTTATTGCAATAATCGCCCAAAATGGCCCTCTTATGAAGTTATCTATTTAATTAAGTGATTCGCGATATTAATTCGATTATTACTCCTCGTAAAAAAACTTACAAAACACTATAGTGCAAACGACATCGCATCACGAACGTGCGGCTATTACCATAAACCAATTTGGATTTTATCGCTAAGTAATAGAGATTACATTGGTTTATCACGACAATCCTCTAATTACTAGCATGCGTTCACGAAATTGCACGCTATCAAGTCAAACAAATTGAAACGAATCTTATTATCAGAAGCTTAAGGCGTATAATGAAAAATTCATGTCGCACGCTAATTACGTCATTCGATGTGTGTCTGTTTGGGCAATATTGAACTTTGGCGCTGTCAATTTAAAGTTAAATTTGATTCTTTATATAGTTGTAAAAGTAGCAGCGACATCTATCGAGTTATTAGATTAAGTTAGTGCAGATGAGAATGTTAATTTAATTAAAATTGGAATGTTATTGTGGGGCGGTCGTGCGCCTCCAAGTGTCGCCACGCTCCGACTGTTACGCGAGTTTTCGCGTGCCGTGGATTTCCGACGTTTTGTCGTTATCAACTGTCGTTTAATTATCGAAATGGAATTTGAATGCGTGCAGCTTTTTTTTTATTGAATACAATCTTTCTGTAATTTAACTGAACTGTTATATGTGATTGCATATGACGTCGTAGATCTCAAATGAATAAGCTTTTTCATAGCATTTTTTTGTATAAGAATGACAAATTAATAAAACGGTCCACTGTTGAAATTGGACAATTGGCAACTACTTTCTGTAGAGAATACTATGAATGTCTTAAAATAATCTAAAAATATGAACTATTCGGTGTTCATCTTAGAGAAAACCTTTGTGTACAACTAGTAGGTACTTTACCGTTTCCTTAGCTATATTTAGGTTAGTTTTATGATTAAGGAACGTAAAGTACTTAATAAGAGGGTAAAGAAACAAATACAATTGACGGTTGAGTAGTACCTAGAATAAATAAAAAATCGCTTACTTGATTGAATGTTTTGATTAATTACTAATTTCATTCGGAGAATGTTCTGTAATATCTATTTTTAACAAAACTTGGGTACCTTTTAATTAATTACTATAGAAATACTGTAGGTATTAGGATTTGTAGTTGCTCCTAAATTAGATTATAAACGCTTATAAATATAATAAGTTGATGAGTTCTTAAAATGGAAATTAATAACGTACACATGGCTGCTTGTAAAGGTAAGATAGTGATATTTATCCAAGTGGGTACCTTTTTTATTAATTCTACTTGTGCTGGTTTCTGTTAGTTTCAGTCAGTATTTATTCTTATAAACATTAGAACACATTTCTTATTATGAAAATGAAGCAAGAATAATAAATAGGAATTAAATTAAGCTTCATGCTGGTAATAAGACTTATAGATCTTATTATTTTATAGAGTCAGGTAATAAAAGTAACTAAGCTATAGAAAATTAAATTTTTAGCAACTTTAATTACAACGTATCTAGAAATAGGATATCGGTCACGCGTTAATTCACTCGAGTCAACATTAGTCTTTAATACACTTGTCATTAACTCGTACTAGACTATGATAGATTACCTACTTTTGCTCTGTATATTATACCATTTGGGCCTAGATAATTGAAAGAAACTCTTAAACTCAGGCTTAATTTCTACACAGACTTCCTAAGATGAAAATGATATCGGAAAAGTTTGGAAGATAAATGGATACCACTTTACGCTAGAAACACTGATGTTAGTATCGAGGTCAGAAATAAATCAATTAACAGAAGAGAAAAAGCTATTAATGCTACTTATAATCACTACTTACTGGAAAGATAAGACGAAGGTGAGAAATTATTTCTGAATTCTTTTTAAAGAAATAAGGCCATTTGATTTTTGTTATTATAGGAACTTTTTCTAAATAGAAAAATTTTGCCAGTTACAATACTTCTTACAATAAATTATTTTATTATTTTGAATGCACATGTAGTTTCAAAAGTTTTAATTAAATATCCAGGTAATTACTCTATTAAGATGTTTTCAAGTTAGAGTGCTCGTGCTTTTTCAAGTTAATGTTCACTTAAAAATCTCCACTTGCTCTCCAAGTTAGTTCAATATCTTTTACTCCAAGAATAAATAATAAAATATTTTATATAAAAAAAAATACTGTACAGCAATTTTCATTATTATTCTATTGGGAAATGCTGGAAACTTATTTTTTTGATTAACAAAGACGTTTTTTATGCTTAATGCAGCAATTTTGGACAAATAGAAGATGTACATGTGTAAGAAAATATCGAATGGTTACAAAAGCTTTATTAACACCACAATTTACAAATATTATCTAAAGAAAATAATTTTTAATAAGCCCCTTAAAAATAATAGAGTAATTATTATTGCCATCTGTTTAAAATAAGCACCAAATTTCGAGTATGAGGTCATTTATACCCCGTGTAGGTGTAGCATTAATAACATGTTAAGAGGTAATTTACGCGAACTGTCCATTTTTGTAACAGATAACGTGGCATCACGGCACGAGCGAAGTTAATGGCTGGCTCGAGTCAACCGTGTTTGTTTTGTTTTTTAAAACTTGTAATTATTTAAATTTCGAACAGCAGATGCGTTCGGGGGCAATAATCGATTATGAACGCGTGTGACTTTATGAATGCACGTGTTAAATATTTTTTTGGCAGCAAACAGAACTTTATGACCAAATTATAGAGAATATTTTCTTTATTTTTTTTTTTACAATAGGTTATTTTGATATTAATTATCAAGTTAAAATAACAAATTAAACTGTATTTTGTGTGAAAAAGCATATTACTTACATACTTTTACAAGACGTTATGCCAGTATTGTGCTCGAAGTATGTCTATTAACTTTGTTGCAGGGGCTGCGACGAAACAGTTAATGGTCTGTATAATTAATATTACGAATTAGCAACTATTAAATAAGTTAATGACTCGTGCATAACATGACACCGAGTAAGTCATATAATACAGAGTTACAGTTAATAATAAATAAAAAGGCACGTTTGTTGTTAACCCCTTTTTTATTCTTATATGATGATTTTCTACGCGATATCTTCTCCAATTCCTAACAGAATTTATCGATTCTTTTAGCAGACTATTAGGAAAGGATATGACGATGAATTAGTATACACAGATATTACATACGAGTAATCATGAAGGGCAGTGCATGAATGGCGTAAGAAAGAATTTTTTGTGTTTGTATACTTAAAATAACAAACATGATTTTTCAAGTCTTTTCGATATAAAGATGGCAACCGTCATCTATAGACATGAACATCACTATAGATATTATAGACAGAGTTGCCAAATGCTATTTTTTATTTTCAACCAAATGTCAAATATGTTTTCTCCAAATTGATATGATTTCTTTTACCCAATTAAATATTTGTATAACAATTTTTAGCAACTTTAAAAATTATAGTAAGCATTTTAAGACGATTCAACTCATTTTACGGCATGAAAAATAACTGTTACTTTGTTCAAATACAAAATAAGTTTACAACATACATACAAATTGAATGAATAAAATGACTATTACAAACTTTGCATTGATAAAAAGATAGAAAATAAAAAGCTACATTTTTTTACT